GCTCCCGTCCTTTGGCGGGAGTTAACAGAGGCTGTGGCTAGAAAGGCACGGAGTGATTCACAGCACTGCAGGTGTTTTTGATTTATCTATATTCTGCCATGGCACCACTTGTTTTCTTTCATTCCAGTAGCATTGTGAAACCTTACCTCTGTCTAATGTCACTAACTAGATGCTCCAATAAGGGAAAAGGCTGTGGCAATTTGTAAAACAGTAGTTTCAGTAAAAATATTGTTTGAATGACTGAATCAGATATAGGCCACTCAAGAAATATGGAAGTTTGGCAGTAAAGACAATGTGAAGACCATTAGGTAAGAGTCAGTGGTATATTCAAAGAATCGCACTGTGGATGGCCCCAGGATCAGGAAGCCTCAGTAGGTTGGGAGGTAGGAGGAAAGGAACACGTAACTATTCTATGTGATCAGGCAGTTCTACCCTGCCCTGTAGGGTTGCTGTGAGTTGGCATCAGCTAGATGGCAGGGAGTTGAGTTGCTGAGGATGGAGCATAAGGAGCCCTGAGGGTGCTGTGCTGGGCTGCTGATTGAAAGGTTGGCAGTTCAAACTCAACACTTGTTCTGTGGTGGGAAAAGGAGACTATTCCCATAAAGAAAGGACTCTCCACTGGATGGCTGTGGGTTTAGTTTTGGGCTTTAGGGTGGAGCATATCCAAAATAATTATTAGCGCTAATGTGGTGGTGTTCACTGGGTTACTGGACACCCTGTAAAGTCTTCAACAGTACACATCCAATTATGATTTACATAACTCTTGTGAGGATGGTCCAGGATCGCGCAGTACTTTTTCTGTTGCCCATTAGCTGCTGTGAGTTGCAACCACTTTGATAGCACAGAGCAACAGCAGTTCATAGGAGCCAGCAGTGAACATGTACTTCACGCGCCACAATGTGGTGTGCAGAATTCATAACATTAGAGGAAGCAAGCAGTAGCCAAGTGTAAAATGCATCTTATTGACAACATCCCGATATCCAAGGACCTGTGTGGTTCCAACCTGGAAGTAATTCTGAAAAGTCACAGAGTGACCCATGAAACCTGGCCCACCTCTGTAACTCCCGTTCTGTCCTCATGGAGGAACTCAGTCTGTGGAATGCTGAGGTGCTGAACTAACAAAGCGTCCTGGAGAAAGAGGAATGGCACACGTACAGGTCATGCCGGCACCAGCACAGAGGTCCGTCCTGATTCCTCCGCTGTAAGCTAGTTTTGATAGAAGTTTAAAAGCTCCGTTTTAAGAACGTTTTCATTAGGATTTCTTTTTATTGTCGGTGTCTTTATAAATCTGATCTTTATCTTTGGGAGTTGGCATGAGAATGCTAACATCAACAAATCATGTGCTGCTACTTTGTGTATTCTTTATTCGTTCCTAATGTAACAGAACTGGGCAGCTGTACTGTGGTTTGTTGTAACTCTGATATGCCACAACAAATATGTTTTAAGTTGAAGACTACTTGTAATAAATATTCATGGTATAAAAATTAGATTTTAGAAGTATAACGCAAAAGAAACAAAAAACCACCCAAACCTGTTGCCACTGAGAACAGTTCCATATAGGGAAACAACTACACATCTTTCTCCTGGGGGTTATCTGGTGGGTTAGAACCGCCCACCTTCGATTAGCAGCTAAGTACTAAACGGCTGCGCCACCAGGGCTCCTGTAGAAGTGTAAAGTGATAGACAAAAGTCCTTCCTGTCTTCTCATATATTCTAACAGCATCTCTTGGCTAATATTCCATAATTTTCACTTTTTCCTGTTTTCCCTTCACCCCTTGTTATCTTTTACAATAATTAAATTTTTTTTTAAGGAATGGTATTCAGCCAACTCATTTATGCATTCCTCTGAGTGTATCTAGTACACCTTTCCATGACTTCATGAAATGTTAGCTTCATGTTTTTCTGGTGAAACGTGCTTTTTTTTTTTGGCAGAAATTAAGATGGGTTTCTAGGTTTTTGTGTGCTATATAAATAGTATTGCTATTACAAAAAGATATCTTGTACTAATATTTTTGCTAGCACACGAGAGGAAATCTGTAGGACATAGGCCTAGAGGTCACAAGTACGTGCATAAAACACCGGATTTACGGGCTGGGTGTGTACCGCGCTTGCTCTTCCGCAGGCTTGCACGGTTGGTTTGTACTTCTCTTGTGCCTGAGTGCTTGCTGTCCTCTAGCAATCTCACTTTGATGGGCATTTCTTTAGCTTGGAGTGAGTTTGAAGATATTTTCAAATGTTTACTGGTCATTCATTCTTGGTAGAATGCTACCTGTATTTGTTGCCAATTTTCCATTTTCCCTTTTCTCAGTAGTTCATAAGAACTCTGGGAAAATTGATATTTGCAGGTATCTGTCCCGGTTTCTGGTTTGTTTACATATATATTTACCATTAAAAATGTATTCTTTTTGACTTCTAGGTTTTTGTCATGATTCAAGCCTATCCTATGCTTTAAATAACTAAATACTTAATAATAATTTTTAAAATCTATTACATTTTAACTCATGGTTTTATATTTTAAATATGATATATCCGAAACTTATTTTGCCATCAAAGAACAAAAAAACCATATCATTGTGAATGAGGGGGAGTGCAGATTGGGGACCCAAAGCCCATCTGTAGGCAACTGGACACCCCCTTACAGAAGGGTCGTGGGGAGGAGATGAGCCAGTCAGGGTGCAGTGTAGCAATGATGAAACATACAACTTTCCTCTAGTTCTTTAATGCTCCCCCCCGCCCCCCAACTATCATGAGCCCAATTCTACCTTACAAATCCAGCTAGACTAGAGGATGTACACTGGTACAGATAGGAACTGTAAACACAGGGAATCCAGGATGGATAAACCCCTCAGGACCAATATTGAGAGTAGCCATATCAGGAAGGTGGGGGGAGTAAGGGGGAACTGATCACAAGGATCTACATAAAACCCCCTCCCTGGGGGATAGACAACAGAAAAGTGGGTGAAGGGAGACGCCGGAGAGTGAGACATGAAAAAATAATCATTTATAAATTATCAAGGGTTCGTGAGGGGGTGGCGGCAGGGAGGGAGAGAAAAAATGAGGAGTTGATCGATACCAAGGGCTCAAGTAGAAAGCAAATGGTTTGAGAATGATGATGGCAACAAATGTACAAATGTTCTTGACACAATGGATGGATGTATGGATTGTGATGAGTTTTATGAGCCCCCAATAAAATGATTTAAAAAAAAAGAAGTGCCCATAGGGCTCTGTCTTTTTCCCATAACACAACTCAATAGTGACCCTATAGGACATAGAACTATTGCTTAGGGGTTTCAAGGCTGTACTTTTTTTTTTTTTAAGGCTGTACATTTTTATGGAAGCAGACTGCCTCATCTTTCTCCCAAAGTGGATTTGATTGGTGGGTTTGAACCACTGGCCTTAAGGTTAGCCTCCAGGGTGAATGTTCTTTCCTTAGACTCGTCATATTTCCAAAATGAAAGTTGAATTGGGAAAGTTACTTTGCGAAGTTGCAAGATTCCCATACAAGAACCAAGAATGCTTGTGGCCTTTGATTCGACTAGGGGACGGGTAGGGAGATTTTAGAATCCACAACTTCTCAGAGTGAAACAACATCTAAGCAGGAACTGCAGCGTCCCATTATCTTTAGAGTGTGGGTGCGTTCTGAGTGACTACCACGAGGCTTCACTTTTTTGGTGAAAATTTTCCATCTAAAACAATCGAAACATGTTTTATGCTGGTTATCCTTAAACCAATAGGTAGTTTTTATAGAAATTTGGTTCTATAATTTGTGGAAATTTCCCTGACCCACTGCAGTTCATTAAGGAGAGACCGCAGTGCAACATTCCTGAAGTCGCCATGGAACCTTATGACTAGGATAACGTAAGAGTTGGTGTAATGCTGACTGACTGCCTTAGCCAGTCTGGAAGTAGTGAAAATCAGGGAATTCAAAACCAGTGTCAGATAGTTGTTGCGTTATCTAGATTATGAGCTGACTGGTTCAGGGATAAGTAGAGAACTGCCAATTGTATAGAAAAACAAACTGGGATTGAAGTCCAAAGGAAGGAGGGAACAGCCTGTCACCGATGTGGAAACAGTGATATGAAGGAAGGTCTGGGTTGGGACAGGAGACTCAAGCCTGCCAGCTGCTTCCCTTTCCTTTTGTTTGCCAGACAGTGGTAGCGAGTAATGAGGAGAGAGCTTTGTTGTTGTGACACAGGACAGATTTGGGGTTTACAGATAAATAAATAATGATATTTGGAGGAGAAAGTACACCTACCACTTAGTGACTTTTTTTCTGAAGTTCAATACAAATTAAAAGGGCATGACTATATGACATCCATGGTACAGTGTCCCTTGATTATATTTTGAAGGCATAAAAATGTAGAACTTACAGAATCATCATGGAAATCAGAGGGAAATGGACGTTTAAAGCCTATTGACTAGAACTTTCTTTTCTAGTGACTCCAACTGATTCTTTAATCGATAGATTTAAGCCTAACTTGCAATTTGTTACTTGAAACATAGTCTGAGACCTGTAAACTCTCCAGTCACACCATGTAACTCTCTCACTGTTTCTGCTATGAAACGTATTGAGCTTCATGGAAACTGAGGGAAGATAAGCTAACTCAGGAATGTGTGTGCTAGGCTTGTTTTAACATGAACATAGAGTTCAAATTAAATCCGCCATCTATATTCTCATGTCTTTTGGTCATCTATGCCTTCAAAGCTTAAGAACTTCATTGGTGTATGCAAAACTAACACGGAAATGCAAAACATTAGACAGTGTGGATGTAGATTTTATTTGATACTTTATAAGTTACATTTAATTTAATGAATGTATATGCATGTCATAAAAATATTTGCCTTTATTTTATTACAAGAAGCCCTTCTCTGCTCCCTAAAAAAACAACAATAGTCCATTGCTGTCAAGTCAGTTTGATTCATAGACCCTATAGGACAAAGTAGAACTCTGCCCTCCGTGATTTCTTAGGCTGTAATTTTACCCAAGCAGACCGCCGCAGCTTTCTCCTGCAGAGCAGCTTGGGGTTCAGACAGCTGACCTTCCAGTTAGCAGCCAGCACCCCCAGGACTCCTTTCAACCCTGCTAAAACGCCACCACCCAATGCCACAGAGCTGATTCTGACTCAGCAACCCTGCAGGACAGAGTGGACCAGCCCTGTGGGTTTCCGTAACGACTCTTCACCAGAGCACTCAGTATACTTGGGCAGCACGAATTATGAGTTCTGCTTTTCTGGCTTCAGTTGAATGAAGGATAAGGGGGCTGAAAAAAGTTTTGGGAAAATGGAACTAAAACATACTGGAAGCACCATCATGTTGAAAATATTAAGTGAGTCCTAAAGGCACTTGACCAATTTAACTTCTCTTTCAAAATGATGTGAAGCATTGAAGTCTGGAATGGAAACTACTAGTATTCTTCCCATGCAGGAGAATTTAGTGTCCAAAGTCATGTACCATTTTGAAAGCATAAGCGTGATGCTTATGTTGATTTGTGTCATATGATGTCTTGCATTCACTTGCTGGATAAAGATTCAGGATTTCAGTGGCTTCTGTGTTAAATTCCACAATCGTATCCTAGTGCCACATATACTGCGCTGTTCTACTCGAAGAGGCACAGCAGCCTTGATTGTCTTCTTTGAGTGGAAATGAGAAATTAGGAAATAAAAGATTAGGGCTACAGACTTATTGGGGTTTGAACACCTAGCATATTCAGCATCTTACTTCCCGGGCATTGGAACTTGGTGTATTTTTGAATGAATAAAGTGATTAACTTTCTCTGATTTGAGAAGTAGATTTTCATATATTACTGGCATTTCCGACTAGTGGTTTGAAACACAAAAATCTATTTTCTTAGGGCAAGACTGTTTTTATAGTTGAGCATTACACGTTCCTGTCTTACCGTTGGGCCTATAAATGAAGAAGCGCTAAGCTGATGCTTCACCTTGAATAGCATGAATGAAATGCTGCTTTAGCTTAGTTGAACCGGTTTGGAGTTACTTTTTTCGTTGTGCACCCGCCGGTAACAAAGGGCACGAAGGGCATTCCTCTGTCACATTGTGATACTCTGTGTAGAAATGCGTACGTTTTAATTTTTTCATAAGAATAGCTTCTGAGATTTCATATTTTAGTGTCATGTTTGATATTTCATTCCATGATCATTTGTTCATTCACATGTATTTTTATTTTTAGCTTTAAGCGAAAGACATGAGGCCTAAGACTGAATGAGGTTGTTTTGAGGTCATCCTCGTCCTGAACCACTTCAAACAGAATGGTAATGGCAAGCATAAGCGAGAGACAGAAAAGGGCTTGCTTCCTGTTTCTCCCTGTCTGTTCTCCTACCCTGATCCCACTCTCCAGATTTAAAAGCGTAAAGTTGTGACGAAACCATATTAAACCACACGCCAACATCTCTTAACTAAACTGATTCGAATCTTTGCCTATGGAACTAACCATATGAATCCATATGCTAACCAAGCCTTTTAAAATTGCTTAAATACTTTTCCTTTTTTTTTCATTTTAAGTTAGCTGTAGTGAACTCCCTAACTGGCAACAGAATAGTCTATGAAGACGGCTGTGCTATTAGGGGTTCACAGATTGAAATCTTGTCTTCCAGTAAAGGCTAGCTGGGTTTGCCCTTAAAGGGAATCCAAGCTTAGTTTTCTAAACGAGAAAGTCAGGATCCCTGCCATTGTTTTCTTTTCCTGTGTGAAAGAATTTTGAATGCTGTATATATGTGTGTTTGTTTAACTTTTGAACATATAAACAGCTGACTGAGAATGGCAGTTTATTAATGAACACTGCTTTTGTTAATTATGTGTGTCGTAGTTCAGATTACACTATCTAGATGAATGTAATGCCCTAGAACATTGTTCCCAGTTTTCCTGTAGTAAGACCTTCTGGGGGGCATTTCCTTTGGATAGGAGCCCTCATGACGCAGTGCTTTATTAAAGCTTGGCTGATGGAACCCACCGGCTCGCTGCTCTGTGTTCTGTGGGAGACAGATGGGGCCGTTGGCTTCCATAAAGATTTCTAGGCATGGGAACCCTATGGGGCAGTTCGTCTTTGTCCTATAGGGTCGCCAGGAGTGGGCATCAACTGCAGGGCAGCTATTATTTTATTCAGATGGACCGTGTCCTGTTATATATATTGTTCGGTTGTTGTGTACCATCCAGTCAATGTTGACTCATAGAGACCCTATAGGACAGGGTAGAACTGCTCATAGAGTTTCATAGCAGATAATCTTTATGGGAGCAGACCACCTGAAGGCAATTGTTAAGCTCAAATTCTCCAGAGATAGAATTGCAATAAGGTTCTTGGCCCAAGTTCAGATTTTACCCTAAGCCACTATTTTAAGGTAGTGAGTCTATGTGTTTGCTTTTCTATAATACCTATATTAATATTAATAGCAAAAATGCCACAAATTTACGTATTTAACCCAAATTATCCCTTTGTATAGTTGTTGAGATGCTGAAAAACTAGTTGTGTTACTATTCTGGATGCTAATACAACCCAGGGTCAATTCTAAAGAACAAAACGAATCTATTTCATCCCCATACTGTCTTCTAGAATCCCAGTTGTCACTATCATTCTATACATTACCTAATTTGTCTACAAATGATATTTTCTAACTCTTTAATCTCAGACATGAGAATGACTTTATTCAGATTCATAAAATGTGTTCCTTTTCTTTACATGTAATGGTGGGAGAATTGCTCACATGCATTTAAATCCAAACAAAACCGGCCAGTCTAACTGGCTTTTTCTAAATCTGGTTTGTTTAGTGTGGTGATTTTGATGACTTTTTGTCTGATCTCCGTTTATACCTAAACATACCAGCCTATCCTTGTATACAGAGAAGCCATGTACAATAATGTGCTGTTTGTACTTCAGGAAATGGCAGCTCTCAACTCTTCATTTTCTGTGGAGAAATTAAACCAATAGGCCTGGTCTTTCAACCTGTAATAGAAGAACTGTTCTTACAGTTCACTTGTGTGTATTAAGCTTTAGTGAGAAACAATTACTGATTGCTTTTAGTTTTAGAGATTCTTATTTCTCATATTTAGCCAAACAAAATGATCGTTTATCCAAATAAAAAAATTACAGAGATTGGCCCTTTAAGCTTCGAAGAGCTTGGCAGAATATGTTTGTTTCATTTGCTAAAAAGTTAATGTAATAGAAACACAAAGAAGTCAACCACTATTGATTGGCTGACAAGAGTAGTTTCTAAAGATAGGATTTAGCTTTAGAAATAATTCTAAAGAGCTATTTGTACATGGATGAAATCTGTAGTTCACTTGTGGATCTGAATGTCTGCCACCTCATGCCAGCTTTTAAAGACAGAAATAATGCCACTTTAATTTAAAGCCTCAATTGTAAAGTTGAAGGGACTTTTGACCCAGGAATATTGAATAAATATATATCTCTCTGTCTCTCAATATTTATTTTGCTATTTATAAATTGCCTTGTTTTTAAGTAAAACTTCACTTGAGTGAAGAGTTTATAATTGTAAGAAGGGAAAGGGCACTAACTTTAAAATGTTGTTTTGAAAATTATAAAAGTAAATATTAACCTTTTCTAGTAAAGTATTTTTACTTTTGACATTGTTTAATTTTTTTCCTTTTTGTTTTTTAGGTTTGCAATTTTTTTTGGTGATGGCATGTTCAGAATCTTGGATCCCTAAGTTGAATATGTTGGAAAGATTTAGGAACCCTGGAGACTGTTATTTTCCTATATCTCATGACTTACTAGGTGGATGGATCAGTAATAAAAAGTATATGAAAGAACAGACGCTGTAGGTGTGCACTTTTACATTGGCGTGCGTGTCTCAGATGATCCCTCGGCTACTGTGCAGTGTTCGGAAATAGTTGTCTCTTGACAGTTTGAGGTTTCCAGAAACATCAGGTTTTCTTTTTTTTTAAATTTAATCATTTTATTGGGGGCTCATACAACTCTTATCACAATCCATACATACATCAAATGCCCTCATCATTCTCAAAATATTTGCTCTCCACATAAGCCCCTGGCATCAGGTCCTCATTTTTTTTCCCTCCCTCCCCACTCCCCTCTTCCTCATGAGCCCTTGATAATTTATAAATTATTATTTTGTCATTATTTCGTCTCCCTTCACACACTTTTCTGTTGTCCCCCAGGGAGGAGGTTATGTGTAGATCCTTGTGATCGTTTCCCCTTTTCCACCCACCCTCCTGCACCCTCCCGGTATCGCCACTGGCACCAAGGTCCTGAAGTGCTCGTCCGCCCTGGATTCCCTGGAAACATCAGGCTTTCCTCGTCGGTGGTTTGTTCACCCCACCCCATCCCACACTTTACTTTGCCATCTACCTTGCAGTGTAGGTTCCTTGGACCTGAGAGGATTCTGGCTTAGGAGGACAGGAAAGGAGACAATATCATTGAGTGATAATCCTGAAGGAAGTAATTATAAAATTTCAACTTGGAAATGATCTCAGAATGATTTCTATTAGAATTTGTAAGTCTCACCCAAATGCTATCCAGACACACTGGTGGGAAAATGCTGCCAGTTTTCAAAGTGGACATTCTGATGTAGGATGGCAGTGCAATCGAGGAGGAAACTGAGCCGTTCCGTTTCACCTCCCCCGCCGTTACCATTGTTGGGTAAGTGAACTAGTGGAAAGTAAAATGACCAAAAGACAGGCAGTGTGAATGAAAAGGAGGTGGAAAATGCTCGTTTTCAAGAAGGATGACTTGTCCTTTAAAATTTGAGAGCTGACTATATTCCATATACTTGAACACAGTTTTTACAACTGGACTGCTACGGTGTAAATCCAGAATGTGGACGGGGCTATTCTTGAAGTCAGAATGGATACAGAACTGTCCCCATTCAATAGGAGACTCCGTTAGTCCTCTGAGTGGCTACACTGCCATTATTAGTGACTGGCTGGGTTTTTTGTTTGTGCTTTTCCCCTTTACCTGCTAGAGTTCAGGTACTTGAGAAAGATTTGACGGCCAAAAACTGGGTAAAGATTGATTCTAAGGCTTCATTCAGAACAACTTGAAAAAGGACCCAAATGAGAGAATGAAAAGACTGTAAGGAAGTGCAGAAACTCAGCAATAACACAACAGTTTATCGAAAGTTTTACTCTTTGATGCATTAGCAATATTACTGAAATTACTGGGTAGCCAGTTTTTGTAGCATTCCTGTTAGAAGCCTTTTAGAAGCTGAGTAGATGACTTTTTTCACCCTGTTTTGCTTTGTTTTAAAAGGCATGTAAAGGATACGTATCTAGCAGAAATCTGTTTTAAAAATAGATTTTAAAAATCAGTATATTAATATATGAAACCTATGTTGCCTGTTTTGGTGCTTTCCCATTACAGCTGGCTTTTTGACTACTCCTTATGCAATCCATTTATCAATAAAGATGTTTCCTCCTAGCCAATTCTAGCTATAATATTGACTAGCCGTAGGCATTTATGCCCAAAAGGGATTAGATGGACAGGAAAAACGTGGTCCCTATCAGAATGAATATTTTAAAGACCGTTTTAGATTCTGCAAACGGAGTACAAATGAAAGAGACCTAAGAGAGGAAAAATGCAGGAGACAAGTAATGAGAAGTCGGGGTGGGGTGGGGTTAGAGTCTTATGTAGCTAGCCACCTCTTTGGTTCCAAAATTAACGTAGTTCAAAATGTCTTCGTTATCAGGGCATAGATGATAAATAGGGTCTCTTGTCCCAGCTGTAACTTGGGAAAATTATGTAGAATACCGAGCATTAATAGAAGGTTGATAGCATGAATACAGACTATGTTTGGGTGTTGCTTTCTAGAAACTTCTAATAAAACCCCAATTTTGCATTCAAATTTTCTATGGTGGCCTCAGTTGTGCTATGCCATCATTTCAGTGTGTGTCTCATTGCTAGCTACCTGTGTCTTCTCGGGTCGCTGCACTTCACACTGGGCCACACCAGTCTGAGGACTCAGAAACATGGTCGTGGACAAATCTTTCTGAGTTTGGGGTACAAAGAAAATGATGCACTCTTTTGGGAACATTTTAGAAGCTCCTTTGGGAAATCTGGGGTGTTGGGGGAAAGCTGTAGATCCTCTTCCCCACCCCACCCCTACCCCCAAAACAGCACAGGCATACACATTTTAATGTAACCCTGAGAAAACCAGGGTTGCCCCAGGGTATCATAGACCATCACCATTTCACTGTTGACCTTTTCTGATTTTGTAGCTACCAGCCAGTGGTTCTGCGCTGCCTTGGAAGAGTGCAGCGAGTCTTGGATGGACATGGACTGCTGTCTGTCCACACGTAACTGAAGCTGCAGTCCATAGTTAGAACGGCAATACACAAAAACACCTGCAAAGTCTGCCTCAGTGGTCTACGTGGTACACATGCCAAGCCTGCAGTGTAAGGAGTGAGCGAGCCGCGGCTTGCTAGGTGGCACCCCTTGTGTGGGAGCGCTGCTCCGGGACTTATTTTAGAATGCCTTCTATGTCAGTGTGTTGTCTTTCAAGATGAGTCTATTTCTTCTAAAATGCCTAATTATAAAGATTTTCTTCTTAGCATGACGTTTTATCATGTCTTAGGATATCAAATTCATGGTATAAAATGTGCACTTCCAATTATCATAGTGAATAAAATTTGGAATTCTGTTATTTGACTCTGAAATTTACATCAGCTTTTCCAGAAAATGACTTGAGATTTTCAGATAGTTCCTTCCAGATTTTCTGAAGGCATAGTTATTTTCTGAGTTTCATTAATCAATTATAAGGTTTTTTGATACAGAATAGATGTATTTGATTTATCACATATTTCAACAAGTTCCATTTAAGTGGCTCTAGTCTCCGCTTTGGAATCTTAGATTCACCTCCTGCTTAAGTCATTCACTGGGACATTTCTGCAAAATACAGCTCCACTGAGAAGATCATCCTTGAAAAACCAAGAAATCTGAAGAAACTCATGGGGATTGTGGCGAGAACTGGAAACACGTCGTCAGAATGACAACACGTTTGAGGACATCACAGCCTGTGCTGTTTGTAAACGAGACATCCCTGTCTTTTATAAAGCGGGCCTGTGGACAAACAAAATAACCTCATAAAATGTATCTTTCATGTGAGGAAAATACGACTAGTCTGTCCACCTTTCTGTCAGTACAATCCACCTGTGATGATTTGCACGAATGGAGAGGAGCCTGGGTGATTCCGTGTGACGGGCATTTGGATATCCTTTACTTTGGATTTCAAGACGACTTTCGCTTTCTTTGGAATGTGGAGTTTGGGGTTTTGACAGAGTGTGTGTTGCTACTTTACTTCCCCAGAGAAAATCACTGAAGAGGGGGAGCAGGAGTCCATCGATGTACTGCTACCTAGCCTTCCACATCTTGCTTTACCTAGCCTTCCACATCTTGCTTTATCCGTGGAAAAGGCATGTAGTACAAAGGATCCTAAAATAAGCACTTACCTTTCTCAGGTAATTTTATTGCAGTGCTTTCCTAGCTTGTCTACATCTCCATCAACTTTAACCCTTGGTCTCAGTTCAAGACCGTTGCATTGCTCAGTCTCCGTCTCCTGCTCTCCCATCGCGTGCTTGTGGCTGAATTTTCAGTGGCTGTACTATTAAAGGAGTCTGCTTGTTTCTTTCCATTTTCATCTCTCTTGTATGTGACCTGGAAAAAGACTCAATTGAGACTAGGAGATGTTTGTTCTAAGAATCGCCTGTAACAATTCACAGCACTAATTTTAAAATGTTGTGCTTTGATTATGATCACTCTAGCCCTGTTGGCCATTGCTCTGTGCTAGCCATGATGCCAGGTGTGATTGTCCAGTCCAACCGCCCTCGTTCCCATCCGTTCAGTCCTCTTTAGGAATGGACCCCATCATACCGCCAACTGACTTCTGTGTCACCTTTCAAGTTCCTGAAGTGACGAGTTACGAGGTGTTGAAGAGAGCCAGACGTTTTCCCATGGATGCTATGACAAATCACGTGTAGAGAAAGCAGTCATGTCAAAGTTTTGAAAGCAAGGGTTGCCAGAATACAGGCCAACTGGTAGATTAACCCACATGAATCCACACTGAGTAGCTTACATGTCTCTAGAAGGAAAAAACTAACTTAAAAACATTACCAGATTATCCCAATTTATTTAAAGCATGCTCTTCCTCTCTAGCAGTTTTATGTGTAGTTTTTAAGAAACATGTAAATGTGTGTAAGGGGATATAATGTATATAATTATTCTAATGTAATAAAAACGAAACAGACCTATTTATACACCGAATAGCTTGAAATGATTTTTGGAGTAAAATTCTAAAGTGTATGATACTCTTTACTTTTATGTAATGTGCAAATATCCTTAGAAGCTGCTTATACAAGTTTCATTGTCAGTATAAAAAGACTGAAAACAGGACCCACATATTTTCTACAGTGAGACTGCTTACCTTGTGGCTGATGTTAGCCAGTGTTTCTGATTGGGATCCTGTTTCTGAGAGGCATCTTGTACGCGGCTGTGTCTGTCGCAAACATGGTCCAAATAAAGTCGATTTTGTACTTTGAAGGGACTGTTAGTAATTAAATTTTTTGTCCAACAAAGTAGTAAGTGTTGGTTCAAAGAAAGGAACAAAAATATTATGATTGTCTAAAATTCACAGTGGCTCCTTAGGATAGTCAGACTTGTGAGGAGGGGCTGGCAATGTCATTCGAAGAAGAGAGGAGAACATCCCCGACACACACACACACACACACACACACACACACACACAGAGTCACCATGCCTGCCGGAAGAGGTGTGGGTCTGTCCGTGAAAAACTAGGAAGACAGG